CTGAGAATTTCACAAGCTATTTAATTAAAGTAAACTTCTGTTTCCACTAATGCTTCTGGAGAAACAGAAATGATGGGCAGCTATAACAAGCCAGAATGGGTTTGTTAAGAATGTGATGCCAGACAAACATTATTGCCATTTTATATGAAGTAACTTAATTAGTGGATTTGTGAAATGTTTTGGAGATAGTATACTTGGATGTCAGCAAGACATTTGACAAGGTAGAGCACAAGTTAACTTTTTGGTAAGATAGAACAACATGGGATAGAGAGAACCAGCCCTAGGTGGATTCGCAATTGACTGACCAACCACACTGGGGGTATTCATCAATGGAACTACATCTACATGGAGAGAAACATGCAGTCGGGTACCTCAAGGTTCGGTCTTGGGCCCAGTACACTTCGACATCTTCATAAATAGATAGGCTCAAGATCCAGAGGGATCCTGATAGAGCATTGGGATCTATCCAATACTATTCTAGTATTGTGGCATGTTTGCTTTTTCATTGTAATGTATTTATTTTTCTTTTTTTCACATATCTAACCATTTAGTTACACTTTTCTTTGAATCTTATAGACAAAGAGGATGGCAATAAAAGGACTCTGGACAGCTAAGAATATCAAGCAACATTGAAAAAGGAGAGCAGACCGAGCCAGAAATCAAAATATTTTCCATTTCCTTCAGAAAACCACAAAAGTCTCCTCCTCCTCCAGCAGCTGTTAGACAAAAGAGAGAGAAAAAGGAAAGATTTCACACTAGAATAAGTAGATGATTCAAAACTCAAGGATACCTTACATGAAAAGTGAGATTATTTTTAATTTAGTAAAAGAGGGAAATATCTGGAAGTCAGTTGGAGGAAAAGGTCAGTAGGAAAGTCCCGTAGAGCAGAGAGTCATGCAGGCCTCGCCCTGTGAGGAAGAAAACGGCTTGAATGAAAGCACCACTAAAAAAGGGATTGTCCATATTTTTAACCTCAAAAATATCAGCTTGGAAAAGCTCCGTAGTTGTGTCTATTGTTGGAAAACCACAGATAGCAAATCACAGATTATGCATGATAGCATCCATACTGGAGAAAAACATTAACAATTCTCCACATGTGTGGAAAGCTTTAATCACAACAGCTCCCTTGTGGTTCATGGAAGAGCCCACATAAGAGAGTAACCAGAGGACTCACACAGGAGAGAAACCCTTTGAATGTCCTGATTATGTGAAAGTTTCATTAGAAATCACCAAGTCATTAGACACCAGAGGAGTCAACACAGGATTGAAACCTTTTGAATGTCCTGACTGGGAAAAGTTTCAGTCACAATTCCAGTCTGGAGATACATCAGTGGATTCACTCCAGGGATAAACTGTATGAGTGTACAAATTGTGGGAAAAGAAATTGCCACATGATGAGAAACCAGGGGACTCACACAGGAGAGAAACCCTTTGAATGTTTTCTATGTGGGAAACATTTCAGTAAGAATTCCCATTTCATGAGACACCAAAGGACTCACACAGGAGAGAAAGTGTATGAGTGTCCTGTTTGTAACAAACGTTTCAATCAGAATTACAACCTCACGAGACATCAGAGGACTCACAGAGGAGAGAAACCCTTTGAGTGTCCTATTTGTGGGAAAAGTTTCAGTCAGAAGTCCAGCCTGGTGACACACCAGAATACTCACATAGGAGAGAAACCTGATTGTGGGAAAACTTTCAGTGAGAAATTCAAGCTGGTGATGATACACCAGAGGAGTCACATGGGAGAGAAACTATACCAGTGTCTGAATTGTGGGAAAAGTTTCATTCAGAATTCCACCCTGGTGGTACACCAGAGGACTCACACAGAAGAGAAACACTTTGAATGTCCCGATTGTGGGAAAGGTTTCAGTCATAAGTCCACCCTGGTGAATCACCAGAGTACTCACACAGGAGAGAAACCCTATGAATTTCCCGATTGTGAGAAAAGTTTCAGTTATAATTCCAGCCATGTGAAACACCAGAAGACTCACACAGGAGAGAAACCCTTTGAATGTCCTGATTGTGGCAAATGTTTTGTTCAGAATTTCACCCTGGTGGTACACCAGAGGACTCACAGAGGAGAGAAACCTTTGAATGTCCTTATTATGGGAAAAGTTTCAGTTATAATTCCAGCCTGGTGAAACACCAGAGGACTCACACAGGAGAGAAATTGTATCAGATTGTTGGAAAAGTTTCAGTCTGAATTCAAACCTGGTGAAACACCAGAGGACTCACAGGAGAGAAATTGTATCAGTGTCAGGATTGTTGGAAAAGTTTCAGTCATAAGTCCAACCTGGTGAAATGCCAGAGGACTCACAGGAGAGAAAAACTTTTCAAATATCCAGTCTGTGGACGTTACTTCACTGATAAATCATCCTGTATTGCACATGAGGAAAACTACATGAGGCAAAAGTTGAAGAGTTTAGAAAAGGCATAATTTAATTTGTGATCTCCCATTGAAAATGTAGATGAGAAATTGACTATTTGAATTCTGGCCTGATTCTAGTGAAACATGTAGGTGGAGAGAAAAGAAAATTGGAAAAAGGCTAACTACCAGTTTCTTGTTACCAGCAGCAGTTGCTGGATATTTCCTTTTGCAGAAGTAGTGGAATTCCTCAAAAAGGCTTCTGGGTGGTAGTTTTGAATATTGATTATGTAATTCCCACATGTGAAGTTTCAGTCTTTTGCCTTGGTTTCCTCCAGATTTTGAGGCCCAGAATTCCTTAGCCAACACACAAGTATTCCTCAAGATACAACTGTCATGGCCTGCCAATTACGGTTGCATGCTGCAATGGCTGTTAAATGAAACTGCTTATTGTTGCCTTGCAATCTGCCCCAGTCCTAAATTCTATAAAAGTACGGAATTTCGGAGGCTTCCGGTTCCGGTCTTCGATGCTGGCGGACACGCAGAGAGATCCCTCTCCCTGCCGTCCAGTTTTTCTCCTTCGGAAGACCCTGGAAAGGGTCGAAAGGAGCAACCACCGTTGGGGGGGGACTCTTGTTGGATTGTGGAGGGGCAGCAGCCTCTCCGTTTGATCTGTAGTAACTCCTCAGGACTGAAGAGGAAAAGAGCGGCCATTAACATGGCAGCTCACTTAGTCGAACCAGCCGAAAGCTCAAAGCACCAACTAAGCATGAAAAAGCAACTGGAGGAGTTGGGTGAGACCCTATTTTTCCTTTTCTCCTTTCCAACTACTTTCCTGTAAAATATTTTGAAATACTCCTTTCCCCCAGCTGAATTCCGCAGCTTTTGCTCACTTCCGGAATATAAAGCCAAGAAACAAATACACAAAAAAGGAACAAGATTAAATGACCACCTACCTGGACTTGTAATATCTGGATACCTGGGCTCCCTAAAAGCTCTGTATCTTGACAAAAACGTACTGCTTTACTTTTTTGTTAACTCGGAAAAAAGGGAATATTCTTTGTTTCCTCTCTTGAACCAGAAAAAAGCTCTCTTTTGTATGTCACTGGGGACCTCTAGTGGTGAAATATGGTACAGCAAGTGGAATAAATGTTTTCTGACTGGGAGATCTCTGAGACTAAAATTTGTCCTTGACAGCAACTAAAAGATAAGAACTTGAAACAGCTGGGTGGTGAAAATATCTCTTTATAGCGGTAGGGGATAGTTATTGACTCATTAAAAATAACCTCCACTAAAGGACTGTAAACATTATAGAAATGGAGGAACACTGCCCACAGCTTAATGTCAAACTTATACTTGAAAAAATTCTAGAGGCCACTGAGCTAATGAATACTGGAATGAAAGACTTGCGTGCCACTTTAAAGCCACAAAACACAGCTTTAACCCCATTAGAGGAATCCACACTTTAAAAAGCAACAGAAGAAGGAACTAAGATGGAATTTGTAGAGGATTTACGACAATACACTGAGATTCTAAAAATAATAATAATAATGATACATTTGGAAGGGACCTTGGAGGTCATCTAGTCCAAACCCCTGCTGAGGTAGGAAACCCTACACCATTTCGGACAAATGGCTGTCCAGTTTCTTCTTAAAAACTTCCAGTGTTGGCGCATTCACCGCTTCTGGAGGCAGGTTGTTCCACTGGTTAATTGTTCTAATTTTCAGGAAGTTTCTCCTTAGTTCTAGGTTGCTTCTCTCTTTGGTTAGTTTCCACCTGTTGCTCCTTGTCCTGCCTTCAGGCGCTCTGGAAAATAGCTTGACTCCCTCTTCTTTGTGGCAGCCCCTGAGATATTGGAACACTGCTATCATGTCCCCCCTCGTCCTTCTCTTTGTTAAACTAGACATACCTAATTCCTTATATGTTTTAGCCGCCAGTCCCCTAATCATCTTTGTTGCTCTTCTCTGTACTCTTTCTAGAGCAGACATGTCCAAAGTCCAGCCCGCGGGCCATTTGCGGCCCGCGGCCCGGTTTAATCCGGCCCTCAAGCAGCCCTCCCTGCTCTATATAAATGCGGCCCTCCCACGGCCCTCCGGCAAGTCCCATGAGAGAGAGAGACAGAGGCACTTGCACTTGCACTTCTCTCTCTCTCTCTCTCTCTCTCATGGGACTTGCCCCCTCGCAGGGCTCCTCATTGGCCCTGCGCCCTGTTACCCCACCCCCAGCCGCAAGCCACCATTGCCCTGTGGTTATAAGTGTCCCGGCAGTTGGGACCCGCCCCTCCCGGAAGTCAATCAATCCTTGGCGGTTCTCCGTCCGGCCGCGGCTTTCCCCGGCCGGCTCCAGCAGTTCCGGCTGATTGCCGGCACGTGGCTGTTTCTCCCTGGCAGCCTCGGCCCCCCCAGCCCTGTTGGTGAGCGCCCAGTAGGGCGCAGCGTCGCCAGGCCTCCCCCCCTTGCGCAAGGCTTCTGGCGTTCCCCCTCGCGCCTGGCTATAGCGGCTCGGTTTCCCGTCCCGGGCACGCCAGGCAGCGCTGCAGGGAACGGAAGGGAGGGGGGGAGGGAGCTCCGCAGGCCGGGGCGATGCCGGGAACGAGCTGGGCGGCTACAGCGGGGGTGGGAACAAGCTGCTCGGCTGCGGCGACGGCAACGGGCCGGGTGGCTGCGGCGGCAGCGGCGGCAGCAGTCGGCTGGCGGTCCCCCAACCCTCACCCGTGAGTGGCAAGCCATGTGGGGCTTGACAAAGAGAAGAGAAAGAGAGGAGAGAGGGAAACAGAAAAAATGGAAAGAGAAAGAGGGGAAAGAGAGAAAGTTAGAGGAAAGAGAGGAAGAGAAGAAAAAGAGGAAAAAAAGAAAAAGAGGAAAGAGAAAAAGGAAAGAGAAAGAGAAGAGAAATAGAGGAAAGAGAAAGAGGAAAGAGCGAAAGAGAAAGAGGAAAGAAAGAAAGAAAGGAAAGAGAAAGGAAAGAAAGAGGAAAGAGGGAAAGAGAAAGAGGAAAGAAAGAGAAAGAAAGGAAAGAGAGAAAGAGGAAAGAAAGAGAGGAAAGAGAAAGAGAAGAAAAGAGGAGAAAGAGGAAAGAGAAAGTTAGAGGAAAGAGAAAGAGGAGAGGAAAGAAAGGAAAGAGGAAAGGAAGAGAAAGAAAGAGAGGAAAGAGAAAGAGAAGAGAGGAAAGAAAGAGGGGAAAGAGAGAAAGTTAGAGGAAAGAGAGGAAGAGAAGAGAAAGAGGAAAAAGAAAAAGAGAAAAAGAAAAAGAGGAAAGAGAAAAAGAGAAGAGAAATAGAGGAAAGAGAAAGAGGAAAGAGGGAAAGAGAAAGAGGAAAGAAAGAGAAAGAGGAAAGAAAGAGAGGAAAGAGAAAGAAGAAAAGGAGAAAGAGAGGAAACAGAGAAAGTTAGAGGAAAGAGAAAGGAGAGGAAAGAAAGGAAAGAGGAAAGGAAGAGAAAGAAAGGAAAGAGAAAGAGAAGAGGAAATAGAAAGAGGGGAAAGAGAAAGAGGAAAGAGGAAGAGAAGAGAAAGAGGAAAAGAGAAAAGAGAAAAAGGAAAGAAAGAGAAGAGAAATAGAGGAAAGAAAGGAAAGAGGGAAAGAGAAAGAGGAAAGAAGGAGAAAGAAAGGAAAGAGAGAAAGGAAAGAGAGGAAAGAGAAAGAGAAGAAAAGAGGAGAAAGAGGAAAGAGAAAGTTAGAGGAAAGAGAAAGAGAAGAGGAAAGAAAGAAAGAGAGGAAAGAGAAAGAGAAGAGAGGAAAGAGGGAAAGAGAAAGAGAAAGAGAGAGGAAAGAGAAAGAGAGGAAAGAAAGAAAAAGAGGAAAGAAAGGGAGAGAAAAGAAAGAGAAAGAAAGCAAGAGGGAGAAGAAAGAGAAAAAGAGAAAAGAGAAAAAAGATTGAGAAAGAGAAAGGAAAGAGAAAGAAAAAGGAAAGAGAAAGAGAAGAGAGGAAAGGGAGAGGAAAGAAAGAAGAGAAAGAGAGGAAAGAGAAAGAGGAAAGAGAAAGAAAAGAGGAAAGAGGAAAAGAGGAAAGAGGGAGAGAAAGGAGAGGAAAGAGAAAGGAAAGAGAGAAAGAAAGAAAGCGAGGGAGAGGAAAGAGAAAAAGAGGAAAGAAAAAAGATTGAGAAAAGAGAGAGGAAAGAAAGAGGAAAGAGAAGAGAAAGAGGAAAGAGAAATAAAGGAAAGAGGAAAGAGAAAGGAAGGAAAGAGGAAAGAGAAGAAAAGAGGAAAGAAAGGAGAAAGAGAGGAAAGAAAGTTAGAGGAAAGAGAAAGAGAGGAAAGAGAAAGAGGGGGAGAGGAAAGAAAGAGAGAGAGGGGAGAGGAAAGGGAAAGGAAAGAGAGAGAGAGAGAGAAAGAGGAAAGAGAGGGAGAGGAAAGAGGCATAAAATAATTAATTTGCATTTAATTGTAATGGTTCAAAGAATGTTCGGAAAAATGTTCGGCCCTCCAGCACGTTCACTTCATCCAATCTGGCCCTCTTTGAAAAAAGTTTGGACACCCCTCTTCTAGAGTCTCAACATCTTTTTTACATCATGGTGACCAAAACTGGATGCAGTATTCCAAGTGTGGCCTTACCAAGGCATTGTAAAGTGGTATTAATACTTCACGTGATCTTGATTCTATCCCTCTGTTAATGCAGCCCAGCACTGTGTTGGCTTTGTCAGCTGCAGCACACTGCTGGCTCATATTTAAATGATTGTCCACTAGGACTCCGAGATCTCTCTCACAGTTACTACTATTGAGCAAGTTACCCCCTATACTATACCTGTACATTTGGTTTTTCTTGCCTAAATGTAGAACCTTACTTTTTTCACCATTGAATTTCATTTTGTTACATAGCGCCCAGTGTTCAAGTCTGTCCAAGTGATACAATCAGTAAAAAGGTTGAAAAGTCCTGCTCAACGGCACTAGATCCACATGGAGAGAAGTAAGCAGTGGGGTACCACAAGGTTCTGTCTTCAGCCCAGTACCCTTCAATATCTTCATCAATGACTTAGATGAG